TTTGGGGAGGGGTCCCGGGGGGTTTTTGGGGTGAATTCCGGCGGTTTTGGGTAATTTGGGGAGGGGTCTGCAGGCACGAGCTGCTGGAGGAGGCGTGCCGCCAGGGTTTGCCCTTCGCCGCCTGGGACGGCCCCACCGTGGTGTCCTGGCTCGAGGTGAGCGGTTTGGGGAGAAAAAGCCCAAATTTGGGAAAAAAACCCAAAAGTTGGGAAAAAAAAACCCAAAATTTGGGAAAAATGTAGAAATTTAGGAATAAATAAAAAAAAAATTGGGGGGAAAAAGCCTCAAATTTGGGGAAAAACCGCCAAAGTATGGGGGGAAAAAACTCTGAAATTTCGGGATAAATGAGGAAAATTGGGAATAAATTCCCCGAAAATTTGGGGGAGAAACACCAAAATTTGGGGAAAATGTGGGGATTTAGGGAAAACACACAACATTTGGGAAAAAACACACAAAATTTTGGAAAAAAATCCCCAAAATTTGGGAAAAACGCAGGAATTTGAGAAAAAAAAAACCCCAAAATTTGGGAAAAAAATGCGGAAAATTTGGAATAAATTGCCAACAAGTGTGGGGGGAAAAAAATCCCAAAATTGGGGAAAAAAAATGGGGAAAATTGGAGAAAAAGAGCGGGAATTTGGGAAAAATCCCCAAAATTTGGGGAAAAGAGTGGGAATTTGGGAAAAAATCCCTGAAATTGGGGGGAAACCCCTCAAAATTTGGGAAAAAAGCCCCAAAATTTGGGAAAACAGCGCAGAAAATTGGGAAAAAAAACCCAAAAATTGGGGAAAAACACAGAAATTTGGGAAAAAACCTCAAAATTTGGGAAAAAATCCCTCTGAAATTTCGGGAAAAAAGCGGAAAATTTGGGAAAAACCCCCAAAAAACTTGGGGAAAAAAATCCAAAAATTTGGGAAAAAAAATCAGAAATTTGGGGAAAAAAGTCCCAAAATCTTGGGGGAAAAATTGACATTTTTGGGGAAATCCAGGAGATTTTGGGGTTTTTGGGGGGATTTTTTTGGGGTTTTTTTAGGCTCAAGGTTCTGCCCACCCATTTCTGAAGCCCCCAGACCCATTTTGGGGACCCCAGACCCATTTTGGGGACCCCAGACCCATTTTTGGGGACCCCAGCCCCATTTTTGAGGACCCCAGCCCCATTTTTGAGGACCCCAGCCCCATTTTCGTCCCCCTGGGCAGGTGTGGGTGGGCATGCCCTGGAGATTCGGGGTTTTTGGGCTGGTTTTGGGGTTTTTTTTGGGTTTTTTGGGTTTTTCAGGCTCGGGGCTCCTCCCACCCATTTGGGAAGCCCCCAGCCCCATTTCTGGGGACCCCAGCCCCATTTTTGAGTATCCCAGGTTGGTGGGGATATCTTTGGTGATATCTTGGGCTGGAGATTTGGGATTTTTTTGGGGTTTTTTGGGGTTTTTTGGGCCTGGGCCTCCCCTAACCCATTCCTGGAGCCCCCAGCCCCATTTCTGGGGACCCCAGCCCCATTTTTGAGGACCCCAGCCCCATTTTCGTCCCCCTGGGCAGGTGTGGGTGGGGATGTCCTGGAGATTCGGGGTTTTTGGGGTGGTTTTTGGGTGGTTTTGGGATGGTTTTTGGCGGTTTTTTGGGGGTTTTTCGGGCCTGGGCCTCCCGTAACCCATTCCTGGAGCCCCCAGCCCCATTTCTGGGGACCCCAGCCCCATTTCTGAGGACCCCAGCCCCATTTCTGGGGACCCCAGCCCCATTTCTGAGGACCCCAGCCCCATTTTCGTCCCCCTGGGCAGGTGTGGGTGGGGATGTCCTGGAGATTCGGGGTTTTTGGGGTGGTTTTGGGGTGGTTTTGGGATGGATTTTGGTGGTTTTTTGGGGTTTTTCGGGCCTGGGCCTCCCCTAACCCATTCCTGGAGCCCCCAGCCCCATTTTGAGGAGCCCCCAGCCCCATTTTTGAGTATCCCAGGTTGGTGGGGATATCTTTGGTGATATCTTGGGCTGGAGATTTGGGATTTCTTTGGGGTTTTTTGGGGTTTTTCGGGCCTGGGCCTCCCCTAACCCATTCCTGGAGCCCCCAGCCCCATTTTTGAGGACCCCAGCCCCATTTTCGTCCCCCTGGGCAGGTGTGGGTGGGCATGCCCGCCTGGTACGTGGCGGCGTGCCGCGCCAACGTGCGCAGCGGGGGCGTCCTGGCCAACCTGTCGGACCCCGAGATCCAGCGGGAATTGGGGATCTCGCACCCCCTGCACCGCCTGAAGCTGCGCCTGGCCGTGCGCGAGATGGTCTCGCTCACCAGCCCCTCGGCGCCGCCCTCCTCGCGCACCGTGAGTGTGCAAATGGGCGTGCAAAGGGGCAATGTATGGGGGAATGTATGGGGCAGTGTGTGGGGAATATGGGATTTGGGGAGGGGATTTGGGGAGGGGTCTCTCAGGGGATGGTGTCGCTCACCAGCCCCTCGGCGCCGCCCTCCTCGCGCACCGTGAGTGTGCAAATGGGTGTGCAAATGGGTGTGCAAAGGGGGAATGTATGGGGAATTTATATGGGGATATGGCATTTGGGGAGGGGGATTTGGGGTCTCACACTGGGGGATGGTGTCGATCACCAGCCCCTCTGTGCCGCCCTCCTCGCGCACCGTGAGTGTGCAAATGGGCGTGCAAATGGGCGTGCAAAGGGGGAATGTATGGGGAATTTATATGGAGTTATGGGATTTGGGGAGGGGATTTGGGGAGGGGTCTCTCAGGGGATGGTGTCGCTCACCAGCCCCTCTGTGCCCACTCCTCATGCACTGTGAGTGTGCAAATGGGTGTGCAAATGGGCAATGTATGGGGGAATGTGTGGGGGATTTATATGGGGATATGGGATTTGGGGAGGGGGATTTGGGGAGGGGTCTCTCAGGGGATGGTCTCGCTCACCAGCCCCTCTGTGCCCACTCCTCACGCACCGTGAGTGTGCAAATGGGTGTGCAAAGGGGCAATGTATGGGGGAATGTATGGGGAATTTATATGGAGTTATGGGATTTGGGGAGGGGGATTTGGGGTCTCACACCGGGGGATGGTCTCGCTCACCGTGAGTGTGCAAATGAGTGTGCAAACGGGTGTGCAAAGGGGGAATGTATGGGGGAATTTATGAGGCATTGAGGGAGAATTTTGGGACATTTTGGGGGGATTTTGGGAGGAATATTTTGGGATTTTTTTTTGAATTTTTGGGGGATTTTGGGGGGAATTTATAGAATTTTTTGGGGCGTATTTTTGGAAATTTAGGGAGAATTGAGGGAGAATTTTGGGGGATTTTTGGGGGGAATATTTTGGATTTTTTTTACATTTTTGGGGGATTTTGGGGGGAATTTATAGAATTTTTTGGGGCATATTTTGGGAACTTATGGAGAATTGAGGGAGAATTTTGGGGGATTTTTGGGGGATTTTTGGGGCAATATTTTGGAATTTTTTTTGGAATTGATGGGGGATTTATAGAGTTTTTTTGGGAATATTTTGGGAACTTATGGGGCATTGAGGGAGAATTTTGGGGGATTTCAGGAGGAATATTTTGGAATTTTTTTTTTTTATTAATTTATCGGGAATTTCGGGGGGCATTTATAGAATTTTTTGGGGAATATTTTGGGAATTTTGGAGCTTTCCCGACGCCTCCGTGACGTCATTTCCTGTCCCGGTGGTTTCTTGTTCCCGATGACGTCATTTGCCCGGCCGATGACGTCACCGCCCGGCCGATGACGTCACCGCGCAGGTCACGGGGAACGTGTGGATGACGCACGAGGAGATGGAGTCGCTGCCGGCCACGCCCAACGCGGTGAGAATTTGGGGCAAATTTGGGGGATTTTGGGAAAATTCAGGAGTTTGGGGGAAAAATCGTGGGAATTTGGAGGGATTTTTTGGGGAATTTGGGGGAAATTTGGGGGATTTGGGGG